ATCGTATATACAACAAAGATCTTAGGATCAATGGAACTGTTATTTTTACGTAGACATGGGATTTTGACCCTTTCATTTTTTCCTCTAACCTCTCTGTTCCCTTTATCATTAAATAAATAAGATATAAAACCCCCGGCGCATCGTTCTTGTTTGATTAATAATGAGTTTGTTTTCCGTCATTTTGTGCAACACCAGAAGGAGGAACGCCTTTTCCTTTTCTTTTTCGTGAAAAGGGTATTTTTGTCTTTTTGATTTTATCTATATTTAAGTAAATATCAATAACATATTTAGTTACCCCCTTCAATATTGTATCAAACAAACTTATCCTAGCCACCCTTACGTGACATTCGATTCTATTACATTCTCATTGATTCCATAAACAAAATGAGCTCTCTTCAAATCGTATATACAACAAAGATCCTAGTATCAATAGAATGTTTACTTTTACGTAGACATGGGATTTTGACCCTTTCATTTTTTCTCTAACCTCTCTGTTCCCTTATCATTAAATAAATAAGATAAAACCCCTGTGCATTGTTCTTGTTTGATTAACAATGAGTTTGTTTCCCGTCATTTTGTGCCTATGTAAAATTGTAAATGTCCCTTTAAAGAATTGAGATAACTTTTTACTTCCAAGGGAAAAAGTTATCACGAATTTCAGTTCTGCAGAACCAAGTAGGCAACGAGCCAGCCAATCAATCGTGGTTGAAACAAAGGGTTAATCACACTCCTAACCCATGATATCCTTGCCCAGAGAAACGTTAACGGGGAATGATCTGTGTACTCTTGTTCTCGAGATGCGGCCTTTTTCATTGGCAAAACTGACACCACCATTCTTTGTGTCCGAGACGGATTTCTCAACTGTGTCTGTCGTTTCAGTAATGAATTGCAGCCCCTGAATAACATTGAATCAAGTCACCAATGGACGGAGATTGAGAATGATGAATTTGAACAATTTATAGAGAAATGACAAACCTTAAGCGAAGATTTACCCTCAAGAGCCTTTGTTGAATGGTTTGCAAGTTCCGTGCTGACTTCCTGTCAAATGACTCTTAACAGGCATGGACCATGGAGATGAAAAATCTTAGAGGATAAATATAGAAAGATAAAAAATCTGACCTTGAATATTCTACTGCTTGGCTGCTCTTTAAACCCATCAGCTAATTGGCACAGATACCAGAGACCTGAGTTAGTTATGTCCTGCATGAAAATTTCAAAAGAAGCAAAGGTGAAAAATCATATGTGAGCGCGCATGCGCATGTAAATCAGAACATATTCTAGACAATAATAGTTAATCCATGTAACTGCAAAGTTAAATCAATGACCTGTTTGCTTTCAACAAGCTTGAGCTTTCCTTCCTGTCAAGTTAATAAAACACATTAAAGTCAGAACTTCAACAATGCAATGCTTCAAGTTGATTGGATGCTTAAAAGTGGTAGGGGAGAAATATAGTTTACCAGGCCGGACATCATTTCATGGATGAGTTCAAAATCACCCCCAATTTGTGAAAGGTTTGACTTCACTTCATTCACCTGTATGAAAGTAAAAATAAATGAGCATGCAGGAACGAACTTCCACATATAGCCTGAGATGAATTTTGCAATTTACCAAAGAAGCTCGCTCTTAAAACTGACTGCAGACCACCCAATCCACAAGGGATACTGATGTTATGAAGGAAGAAGCAAAGTTCAAGTTGAATTTTGCCATGCAAAGTAACAATATCAACTTCAATCCCAACAAAGCAATTCAAACCATAAAGGAGGACGGGCATATTGATCCAGATGCTAATAGTCATAATTCACTGATTCTGAGGAATAACTTGAAACAGAGTTCATTTGATTGAGCCTATATTTAGAGGTGTCTTCTTCATATGTAACAACTTCTTGCCTTAATCGCATTAATAAAATTGCCCAGATTGTAAAGAAAATCAACATCTCTTACATCATTTGCAATAAGCTGGGTTAACTCATTGTGCTCCTCAACTTTCAGGTCCAAAACTTCTAGTTTCTTTGTTAGATGCTTTCTAGTTGACTGCATGCGTCGTTTAAACAAGGTTGTTCAGCAACCAACACAGATGTAAGATGGTCAAACTGTGAAAATTTTGTCAACAGATGCAACTTACAGCTAATGTTTCATGTACGTTCTCCAATTGCTTTGTCACGGTTGCAACAGCATTGGCCATATTACGCTTTGTCACAAACATTACATCGGAAAATGACCATCCCTGAAGAGGAACACCATGATGAATGCATTCATAGCATCATTATATACCACCATTGCTTCTAGATCAATTGCAGAGATATACATAATCTTTTGATTAAATAATAGTCTCACCCTCCACCACATGTAGCAATAACCCATAGCTCCTATTGCAGCAGCTGGTAATAGGTAAGATGCATAACTCCCTATGTGCAAATAATTCAAACCAACAGCATTTTATAGTTAGAAAAAAGAAACCCTTTTAGATAGAGAAAAATATTACTCTGCCATTATAATAAAATCACTCTGCTTTTATAACATGAGAGTAACAGGCAAGATTAGAACATCCTAGATCTAACAAGGTGATCATTCAAAACCAAAATCAGGAAAATCCAGCGTCTCACTCACTAACTTTGAAGGAACACATAGTAAAATACCAACACAAAGGGAAACATTGTAACAGGGATACTAGGAAAACATGAATAAATAAGGTCATTTTGGCCATCTTGAGAATCTTGCAGGTAGAATAACTCAGTTAACCATTCACGAAAATCTTGAACTTCAGCAAAAATGGATCGAAAGAGATACAATCAGGTGCCTTTAAGTATTGTGATAAAAATATAATTTTTATCACTACAACTAACTCAAAAGGAGCAAAGAAAGAGACATGCAAAACTCATGATAAACTGAAAATAATTCATGCTACATACCATTAGAGGAAGAGTTGCCATTGAAGATAGTTACAGGATTGGATGAGGTCAGCTCCCTAATCTCTTGAGCTAGTTGTCGAATCTGAAGTTAAAACATGCAGGTTTATTTTGCATTAATTAGTGTATTCCCTCTAAAGATATAACTTTAGTATGAAGTATCTTGTAATTTAACAATAATCAGATTTAAAGATATGGGGTAAAAGAAAGGTTTTGTCGTTCAAATACATCACATAGATGCTTCTGTCTTGTTCATCAAAAGGTCGCTTCACTTGCGCAAAATGTCAGAGGTGGGCCTGATCTACTGAGCTAGTTACCACCATTAGCTATGACCAAGCATGTAGTCAGAGTATAGACAATAAAATCCTTATTTGGCAGGTTTGCAATATGTCTTTGGCCGATATGACTAAGAGTTTGGTTGTCCATTTGACGTTGAGGCTTCTATAGCTTTGAAATTTATTCGTTCTCAGAAGCAATAGTAGCATAGAGTTCACTGGCCCTGTAGAGTCATTAATGGTTTTGGCCACATCTTATTTAGAAGAGGAATATTTTCATGTGCTCTTTGTGGATTTCTAGAAATGGTTCCTTTTTTCTATTTCTCCACTTTGGGTGGAAAGGGGAGGGATGCTCCTTGTGGATATTCAAAGCGATTAAAAGCTCTTTTGAATTAGACTTTGGGAGGGCTTCTTTCTCTGAGTTTAGTGGAGAATCTTCTGCTTTCTCTCCCCCTGTATTTTATGTATTAGTTCTCTTCTCATCATTTAACCTCTTCTCATCAATAAATGTTTTTAACCTCCAAAATACGTCAGTCTATAATTATTGCCATAAAAACCAATTTCTTATTGTCCATTGATTTGTACTCAATGAAAATGATCAGACTTCTACAAAGCCAAAGAAGCCACCAGATAACATTAAGCTTGCAATACCTGAGCAGCAATGGCTGCGGTGTCATATCGGCCTGGTGAAATCCCAGCTTCATCCACACCCTTCAGCAATTCCTGAAGCTGTGCAATGAGATCAGACAAACGGCCGCTTCTCAACACAACAGAGCCAGTCAAACCTAAAATTCAGAAAAAGAACTTCATTACAGTTCTCGTCCGTTAATGAACAACGACGAATTAGTCACATGTACACAATCCTATTCTTTTTCTTGTTTTTGGGCAAAGTAAAAGCTCGCCTCGACCGAGCCAAATGAACTATAAGACAAACGAAAAAGAAACAGTTTTTCTTTATGAAGGTTTTAAAAGGACTGAAGTTACGAGCTTCTAGATCAGTCAATTAACCATTGAACTGAATTTCCAGTGCCTTGTAAGTTCATCAACAAAGCAAACTTCTGGGATTTACCATTTAGGAGCTTAATTAGTCGGAAATTCCCAACAATTTAAAACAGACAGAAGGATTTCAGAATAAGATATAAAGTAAACGGTTACCGGCTCCGACAAGTATAAGAATTTTGGAGGTTTGAACTCCCGCTTGTAATGCCATTTTTTCGCGAGGACAAAGCGCTCTCGCGTTTCTTCAGCCCACAGGAGGACCAATACGATTTTACAAAGAACCCCGTTGGTCGGCCTTTTTTATTTTTTTATTTTTTTTTTCCGGCTTCTTTCACAAAAGAAGAAAAGAAAACAATTGCCACCATATTCTATGAGCCTTGTCATAAAATATTTGATTAATTAAAAATTTCGGCAGAAGAAAATCTTTAACTGAAAATTAAAGTTTTTATAAAAATTTTATATCCAATATTTATTTAGCCAAACTATCGTTTAATATTCTTAATTATTAATTAGGACAATGTTGAAGGTGCTGAAGAACAATAATATTTTAAAAAAATACCATAATATTTAGTTTTTAATTTTTAAAATCGATCAAATATGCTTCTCATTTATTTGAGACTTGGTGTCTTATATAAGAGCCGCATCTGATGCCTGATTCATAATTATTTTATCACTAATACTAATACTACTACTAATAATTTAAAAAAAAAAAGTGCGAGAATTTCACCCAAAAAAAAAAGACTGCAAGAAAACAAAGGGTGGGCAATTTTGACTTTTTGGATTGTTATGATTGGGATTGACTTCCTGGCAACGCAAGATTGCAATTTTTGTACTTGTCTATCTGCACGGCTACCGCCTTCCCTGGTCAGTGCGCCAAGGAGCCACTTCCAGATTTTGCAACCCACAAAGCAAAATGATGCCTTTTCTATTTCTACTTCTGTTAGCGTCTTCCTTGATTCATGGGTATGCTCAGGATCGGCCTAACGACCAATCTTCCATGTCCTTGGTAGTAACTCAAGGTGGTCTTGATTTCGTGAAAGAATTGCTTGTAAATAAGGCAATTTCGTCAATGATCCCACTTCGATTGCCCAATATTGAAAAGACTGTGAAAATTCCAGTTGTGGGTGATGTTTTCATGGTGCTTTCGAACATCACTATATATCAAATTGACGTTCCTTCGTCGAATATCAAGCCCGGGGAAGATGGGATTTCCATTATAGCTTCGGACACGAGTTGTATTTTAAGAATGAATTGGTATTACTCTTACAGTACGTGGCTTATGCCCGTCGAAATTAGTGACAAAGGTAGCGCTTCAGTTCAGGTATATAACTTGGAATTTTGGTTAGTTTTTGAACGTTTCGTCTATATATTCAACTAGATTCCTTCTCCCCTGCGTTGAACGATTTTCTGGAGCTGAAAGAGTAATTGCCAATGGGATAATTTTTGCTCGATCTACTTATATATTGATTGAACTTGTAAAATTGCACAAGCCGACTACTCTGAGCAATCAGAATAGACTTGCAATTTTTTTCATTTCCAAGATAGCTACAATATCCCATCTAGCCCTCCTTATACATTTTTCACTCTCACCTTTGGGTAAATTAATTAATTACAACATTTATTAGTTATTAACAGGCACTCTGACTCCCAATTCTTTTCTCCTGACACGCACTCAATGAACACTGGAACATATAATTTTTTTTTTTTAAATATGCATCATTTTGAAGGAATTTTGCCTAATCAGGCTATACTTTCATTAGTGACGTTGATAGAACTGTAAAATAGGATTTGGCGCTATTGGTTTCTTTTCATTCCAAATGGGGTGGAGGATCTGCTGTTTTGCTTGTAGTCAAGTTTCTTTTAAGTTTATATTATCCTACGCAAAATATTTTATGAACATGTTTCACTCTCAGCTTTGGGTAAATTAATTAATTACAACATTTATTAGTTATTTACAGGCACTCTGACTCCCACTTCTTTTCTCCTGATACACACTCAATGAACACTGGAACACATAATTTTTTTTTTTTTTAAATATGCATCATTTTGAAGGAATTTTGCCTAATCAGGCTATACTTTCATTAATGACGTTGATAGAACTGTAAACTAGGATTTGGCGCTGTTAGTTTCTTTTCATTCCAATGGGGTGGAGGATCTGCTGTTTTGCTTAACTTTATGGTAGTCAAGTTTCTTTTAAGTATATATTATCCTCCGCAAAATATTTTATGCATATTCCCGGTGTATCCTGATTCCTGCTCAGGCTCTAGATGATGCCCATTCGTTGTTCCTACTGTGTTGTTCCTGCTGTTTGTATTTATTTGTCTCATCTTCCGCACAATGTAAACAAAGAGGAAATTAATAAGTTCTATTGGTGCAAAGGTTGAAGACATGGAAGTTGGACTTACATTGGGCATGGAGAATCAGGAAGGATCACTGAAGCTGGTCCTGAAGGACACTGGGTGTGACATCAAAGACATCTCTATTAAATTGGATGGAGGAGCATCTTGGCTTTATCAAGGGTATGACCATATTTTCTGGTTACTTCTGTTACTTCATTTTAGAAATCTTGCTGGCAATGGATATGCTATCTCCTTTTACTGTTCATATTGGCTGTTTTCCTATGGTTTATCTATATGTTTAACTGCCCTTTTTTTCCCTGAATTTATCTACAAATCAGAACAATGTGTTTGTAACTACGGTGCTTTGAGGCCGAATTAAAGTTCTTGGATCTACCACATTGAGGAAGTAGCACAATGACCTTTGTGGTTTTTCCCCTCATAATTTAAGTGGGAAAAGTAGTAGTATAAGCAAGAATCAATTGCAGAATCCATTAGGTATTTTTCACTTTCTTACTTTTTATGTTGAAAGAAGTATGTTCTTTAATTTTATAGTAACCTACCTGATTACAGTACAGTCTGGTATTTAAGCATCAAGGGTTATTATGTGGTAGTTTGGAACCTTTTTTTTTTTTTTTTTTTGGCAACAGCTTAGAAATCCTTTTGGCAGTAAATTTTCTTTTTTTTCTTTTTTTTTTTTAAAAAGGCCAACAATTTCAACTTTTAGAATAATGAGAAAATGAAAGAAGCTTATTCAAACTGGCTTTGGCTGGCATCATTTTTCTGGTAGGATATGATCAGCTTGCTTACAAGATGTTTTAATCTCTTCCATCTGTGATGAAGATTATGTGCAGATCTTTCTTGAAACCAAAAGATTAACTGCAACTAAACCCATTTTGAACCTCTCCTAATGCTAATAGTCATCAACTGGATAAATGACTTTTAGCACTAAGCTTTTAGACCAACAATCCAATAATAAGTACAAAATCAACAAATCAGATCCTTCTTCAAGTTTCTTGTTGCCTCAACGTATGCTTCTTTTCCTTTCAAAGCATCTACCTAATCACGTAAGGGATAGATATTAGGGTAGTTTGGACTTTGGTTAAAAAGTATCAGCTGCATGGCTTTGATAATTATAAGTATGGAGCAGAGACAGACACCAAAAACCAAAAGGACATACAAAAGGAAAGAATGCAGCAAAGCTACCTGATCTTTCTGCACACCCGCTAGAGATGTCCCTTTGGAGTTCGGAAGATCTGAGAACAACATCAAAGAGAGGCAATTGAATTATTCAGTACCAAAATAATGTAGAAGTGCTGAAGCACCCAAGAAAAATGCGAGCTTGCCTTTCAAGCCTAGTACATCATAGACTCAATATTAGTGCGTTACCAAAGCATATTGACCTCCTTATTATTTTCAAATATCTTTGTATTTTGTGGGGAGAAACTGTTCCAGATTTACAAGATGTACTCACTAAAATTTATAGAAAATATAAGACTGCTACCTAGCAATGTGCAAAATGATCTGATTCAGAGCTAGAAATACACATAACAAAAAGAAATCTATATGGCCTTCATACATTTTCTGTTGATATATTCTTCTGATACATTTTTTTCAGGGGTTGTCTTGTGAGTTGTGATTCATACTTTTGCTTCTCATTTGACAGGATGGTTAATGCTTTTGAAGGGCAAATTGGGTCAAGAGTAGATGATGCTATCACCAAGAAACTGAAAGATGGAATTTCAAGACTTGATTCATTTTTTCAAAAGCTTCCAAAGGATATTTCAGTAAATAACAATGCTTCATTGAATGTAACTCTTGTTGGTGATCCTTTATTTAGTGATTCATCAATTGGATTTCAAGTAAATGGGTTATTTATAGAAAGAAATGTTGAGGCTCCTAAATACTGGCTCAAGAATCCCAAAATTTCTTTATTCTGCACTAATTCATCAAAAATGCTTGGAATTGCTCTGGATGAGGCTGTCTTCAACTCTGCATCATCCTTGTTTTATAATGTAAGTTTGGTTTTTCTATGAAGATTTGGTTTCATTGTTTTGCATGTGCTCTTAGTAGTAAAGCGTAGATTTTTTCTTTTCTCACCGTATTCCTCTTTGTTGATTATGGGGTTGGTGTGGAATGTGAAATAATTTTCTGTCTTCAGGCAAAATTTATGCACTGGGTTGTGGACAAAGTACCAGATCAATCTATATTGAACACCGCAGGGTGGAGATTTATTGTTCCCCAACTGTATAGGAAGTACCCAAATCATGACATGAACTTGAATATATCTTTATCTAGTCCTCCTGTTGTTGAGTTCTCAAATCATAAAGCCAAGGCCAACATATTTGCGGACTTAACAATTGATGTGATGGAAGGAGAAGAAGTAATACCAGTGGCTTGCATCTCATTGGTAGGATTGATTATTAAACTAATCACATTTGCTATTTTAGTTTGTTCTTGTGTATGCTTTTGCCATCTCTAACTTGTTACTTTGGTTTGATCAATTCTTTTGGCCGGTAAGGGTATAAAGTGGAGCTTACCACGCAATGGTTGACCATAAGAGGAAATCTTTTGAACTTCAGCGTTTTCTTTTAAAACCTTGATGGAACATTCATGAATCATGAATAGCTTTCTTGTACTCGTTTTGAATTTTTATCACTGAGAGAAATAAGAAAATAAAATTTAGCCTGTACTAGCTTTGATTATAAACTCATCCCAAGTCATTAATGAGTAAAGCTAATCAATTGGCCAAACTGCTGAATTGGCCCGCTCACTATCCTTGGGTGTATTATGCTTACGTAGATAACTATTGTTGGTCTTGTATAGTTTGAACATCATTTTTAAGGTTACAGAATCGGATTTGGGTAAGTGCAATCTATATTTTCCTTTGGTCCTATTTTAGGGTAGAGAGAGAAGGTTTTTTTTTTTTAATCCCATTTACAAGTCACTCATTAAATTTTCAGTGTGAATATACTATTTTATCCTTAATTTATTATAGTGTAGATAGTTATCTCTTTTGAAAGGTGTATATATTAAATATGGCTAAAGTTGGAAATTTGTTATATTTTAATGAAGAGTTAATGCATTTTAAGGTTTCCTTGGTTTGTGTGAAATATGCTGGAAGTGCCTTATAAAAAGGACAAGAAAAGAAGAATGGACCTTTTGATTTTTACAGTCACTTGGTCAACATTATGTTGATATTCTTTTCTCAGCTTTTGGAGTTCCAGCGCTACCCCATATTTGCATGATGTACTGTTCGCTGTGTGCGTAGTCAAGTCCAGTGACTAATCTCTTCCATCTTTGTGGAAGCAGGGCACTTTATAAAAGTATCACGTAAATTCTAGTTACTCTGTGACTTTAATGAAAGTGAATTCTGAGCAGTTTACCATCCATTTTCATTGCGCCAGAAACTCCTTATTTTATAACTGTTTTGAGAAGTAAGTTATTGAAAGACATAGTGTTTAAATGTAACGTACAATCAGGTGAAGATTGTTAGATTACTAGGCTCCCATTCTCTCCAATTTTTTCTCTCTCCCTCTTTCACCTAAGCAAAAGATACTCCATTTTCTACATTTTTTTTTTCACATTAATCTTCTTTTGTGCAAACACTCTTAATGTGATTTATTCTCCACTGTCTTTCGAACGTCTCTCAATTATAGGCCAAATTAAGTGTTTAATGAAGTCTCCGGTCATGTGTTAACTGATTTCATTATTTCCTGATCCCTACCTTCAAAAAAAGTAGTCTCAATGGATAAAAATCCTCTGAAGTGCTGGCTGTACTTTGGACTATGAAGTGCAAATTGGATTGATGTCACTGGGGGGGGGGGGATGGTTTAAGTTTTTATACAGCTACTTCCCTCTAACTATCTAATCTCCGCAACAACTATTCTTTCATTATCACATGCTAGCAGCTTGCTGACTTCTACATCATCTTTCTGCTTCCTAACAGTTTCTAATTTAAATTCGATGAGTGAAAAGTTTTTAAATAATACATTTGTCTGAAGTTGCTGAAGAATATAATACATTTGTCTGCAAAAACTATGCAATTACAAATGTAAATTTCTTGTCATTACTTAAGAACTCTAGTAAGAAATATATAAGTAACTGCATTTAAGTTTTTCTTTTTTAGATATGATATTTCCCTTTCATATTTGTGTTGGAAAAATGGCCTGACAGTGGTATGCTTTGCTATGTTTCATCTTGTTTTCATAGGTGATTCAAGGTTCAGGTTCAGTCAAAATCAATGGAAACAATCTTGCAGGCACCATTGGTTTGGACGATTTTGCAATGTCATTGAAATGGAGCAATATTGGTAATCTGCGGATGTACCTGATTCAGGTGCCTTTCTGTTACGCAAGATGCATATTGTTAGTGATACTATTTGAGTGAATTGACTTGTTGATTCTCCAAGATGCACTTTTTGACAATCTGGTTTTGCAAGATGAAGCATCCCACTTTACTCATCCAAAACTTGATTTTGTTTGAAAGAATCCTCAAATTAGGCTGCTGACAGATACTTTACTAGATAATTAATGTTGCCTAATGGAATGAGGGTTGCGGCTATTAAATTATAAATAACTTTTGGGCCATCAAGGTTGTGTGTTTTAAGAACCTCGGGCATTGCATAGTGTGGAAAAATGCATATACTGCATTGTAGTCGGCTCACTTTACTCGGCCAGACCACTTATCATGTTAACAAGGTTAATTTGAGGACTATTTTAAATCGAAAACATCTTTGGAGGACTAAAATGGGACATGCAATATTTGGGAGACCAGATTGAGAAAGATATATGTACGGAGGATCAAAAAGTTGATTCACTCATCAATTTAGCAGCTTTTATCAATGAAATGTGTGTTTTATCTTCTTGGACTGCAGCCAGTTGTGTGGACACTGATTCAAACTGTGGCCTTGCCATATGCTAATTCTCATCTCAGTAAAGGGTTCCCTTTGCCTATTATCCATGGCTTCACCTTGCAAAATGCGGAGATAATCTTGTCAAATTCAAGGGTCACAGTTTGCAGTGACGTCGTATTTGCAGAACCAAACAAGCTTATATTGAAGTCTTTGACCTATTTCGCGTAGATAGGCTTTTGTGTTTGTTTTTTTTGGTTTTTTTTTTTTTGCCCTTTTCATTGAGAGCTTGTAAATATTCAGAACAGAGAACCCTGTTATATTTGTCTACTTGTGCAATTTTTCGTTTTTGGTGAGTTTGAAGGGTGGTGATACAACCTTCATACCAAGATGTACAAAGTACAGACTGAAGAACAATGCTGCTTGTGTATAACCTGCAAATTTTAATTCAGATTTTTTATTTTTTTCCATGAAAAGCAGTACTTTGAATTGGTCTTAAAATATCATATCAGGTTACTTGAATTATTCTCAATTTCAATTACCTGCTTGATGCAAAATTATATGATCAAATAAATAGTTTTGCTTTATTAAGCTTTTCGAAAGTTACATTCTTGCTTCTTCTTTTTTTTTTTTTATCCTACAATGGTTTAAGGTGCAAATTTGGTCTCGAGATTTTACTCAAAAGTATTGGATATTTGAAAAATTTTTTTGTGTGAATTTGTTTTGAGAGTTTAAAATTGTAACAATATTGGTTTTTATTTTTCATCATTAAAATAATAATGTTGGTTGTTAATATTTTTAATGGTATGTGGTAATATTTTTACAAATTTAATCTTTAAGGTAATTTTGGATTGAAAAAAAAACTTTTTAAATGTGTAGTGTTTCTGAATGAAAACTTCTATAACAAATTTTTATCTTAACCTTTTATGTAAAAGTACTTTTTAAGTTTGTTTTTGCCCCAAAAAAAGCCAAAAGATACACGTAATTGAAGAGGCTTACTGCATGTAGATCCTAATATAATTTAATTAATAAAACATAAATGACAAACACATAAACTTAATGATAATTTATTTCGAATTATTAGAGATTGTCAATTATCTTAGGGATTTTATTCCTTATGTGTCTAATCACACTAATCAGCTGTCCAAGCTTCTGAAAAAGAATAATAGAATAGACTTTAACCTTTCAAATTCTCAAAAAAAATTGCTTAATTTGCTTTGTTGTGAGATTTTATAGTCCAGAATAATACTAACTATTTTCAAAATTCATTCTAAAAAACTTTGTGCTTCTTACGCCTATTTTTCTTTTCCTTGTCAATAACATGATTCCATATTTCTCAATTATTTTCTCAGATTGGCTTAATAAAAGTTTATGAAAATTTTTATCATTTGAGAAAAACAAAAGATCATTTATATAAATAAAAAAGTTATCAGAAATAGATTCAAAGATTCTGATCATAATTTTTTAGAACAGTGATGAGGTGACTTTAAAATTTCTCTTTGGTAAACAGCAATGCCATCTCAAAGAATATTGGCCATTTCGCCTTCTGCTTGCCTATAGCGACAAAGTTAGCCTTACCCACTGTGCAGCAAAGGCCGTTTGGGTCCCGAGTGAGTGTCTTCGTTCTTCAGGCAAACCCGGAAAGGGTCTCTTAAACCTCTTAAACCCTTCATGTCCTTCTCATCCAAATCCACAAGAAGATGGATATCTGTTTAACCAATTCAGCCTTCAGGATCCCTTCAATTTTCCCATCTCATCTACCTATTTCAACGCAAAAGCCATTGAGCCAGAAAATTCCAGTGCAGACCCACTTGAATGCTGTCAAAAGGTCAGAATATTTATCCGAAATCAGCAAAGCAATCGATCAAGAAGAACAGTACCGCATAGCTCGGTCTCAGGTTCTACGCAAAGGTGTGGACTTGGAAGGTTATTCGATTGAGGGGCTTTCTATTGGTGGACAAGAGACCTGTATAATAATTCCCGAGTTTAAGTGCGCTTTCGATATAGGGAGGTGTCCTACGAGGGCTATTCAGCAAAACTTCCTTTTCATAACTCATGCTCATCTTGATCACATTGTAAGTCACTCTAGCTGCATTCATGTAATTTAGGTAGATAGAAAGATAGGGAGATAGAGAGAGGGGGGGGGGAGAGAGAGAGAGAGTACACTACGTTAATCTAGTTTTGCAAACGTAGAAGATTTGTCTCAAGGACTAATTCGCGCATAAACTAATTTCGAGGGACTGATTTGGTTTGCACCCCGTTCTTCCCCCCCCCCCCCCTCTTGTCGAGGAATTAGTAATTGGAAAAAAATGTAAGTTTCACGACATGTGTTCTAATTCGAATGTATGGTGTTGTTTCATGAAAAAAGCCGCATTTACACTAGATTAAATGCGGAACTTTGTGAAGTTTCTTAGCCCAAAGACAGCCAGAACTAAGACTCCCAGAAGATGGGTATACTACTGCATGTGACTTTTTAAATTTTGATTTGTCTCAACATATCTTATTGACTTAGACACTATCGGGAAAGCTTGAGATATTCTAGTGTAATGTTTGCTTTTGTTATCACTAATCACTGAGTCTTAGTTTTGGTTTTCTACTCAAGTACTTTGCTTGCACGTTATATGCTTTCTCTTGTCCATTGGGTAATATAATTTTCAATTTTTAACGTAAACATATATTGTTATTTAATGTTGTAGGGAGGGCTGCCAATGTATGTAGCTAGCCGTGGCTTATACAATTTAAAACCTCCTACTGTATTCGTGCCTCCTTGCATCCTGGAGGATGTTGAGAAGTTGATGGATATACACAGGACAATGGGCCAAGTTGAATTAAACCTTGAACTGATTGCATTGGACGTAGGTTCGTGTCATTTCCATGCTACAGTGTTAAGATTTTACTGAAATTTCTGGAAATGTTAAAGGAGTTTAATTGCAGGGGAAACCTATGAGTTACGTAATAACCTTGTTGTCCGACCATTCAGAACACAACATGTGATACCCAGCCAGGTATCTTTGTATGGTCTTTCTCCAATTTTTGTGTGTATTGAGATTCCCGAAAGAAGATGAAAGGCTTATTGATTTTGGTTTCCAGCATCTGTGACATGATCCATATTACGACATATAATGACGTATGATGGTGTCACTTATTTTCTTTCTGTAACTTCTACACAGAATATTATCATATAATCTGATGATGCTGCTTGCTTGCTTTCCATAATTTTTTTCAATAAATATTTTTCTACCTGTGCTTTACTTGGCATGTCTTTTCTCTATTTTATTTTCCAAAAACATTTTGATTTTGAACAAGCTTTTCTAAAGGATAACTAGATAGAATCTAAGAAATGAATGGCATCACTTATGGCTTGTGGATAATGTAGCTTATTAGAGTTTTTATATTTCATTATATTGACATTGAAATCAGTGAACTCCTGGAATTTCATCAATGCATGACAATCATGTATAACTGTGAGAATCCTGTTCATGTACGTTTTTGTGGAAGAATTCTTTTTATATCTCTACGTTGTTGATAGAAGGAAAATTCCAATTTGGTATTATGCAGGGTTATGTAGTATATTCAGTCAGGAAAAAACTGAAGAAACAGTACATTCACCTTAAAGGGAGTCAAATTGAGAAATTGAAGAAGTCTGGTGTTGAGGTCTGTAATGACTGCAACTTGATTCTCTTTCAAACCTTTTATAATATTTACTTCTAAAGACAAAATCTCCATTCTAGATTACAGACACTATATTATCTCCAGAGGTGGCCTTCACTGGTGATACAACGCCTGATTTTATGCTTGATCCACGCAATGCAGATGCGCTGAGAGCGAAAATTCTTATAACTGAGGTAAGATGAGAGCATTTTATGTTAATGAAGACCTTTATTCTGTTTATACCTTTGGTCTGCTTACGAATTTGAGAACTTGATCATCCGAAATCTGTATAAACACATAAGGGCTATAGAGGCTTACAAACTGAGGAGGTTCCTATGAAGCTTAAGATATTAAGCATTGGTGATAAACCTATTTATGTGGAACTTCAAATGGATTAGGAGTCGATATTTTTCAGAGGCTTTTATGATTATTAAGTCCTTAGAGTTTATCAATTTATTATGTAGCAGTCTCAGTTATATTGCATCCTTATCTTTAAAAGCATATCGTGGTTAGTCTCAAGGTTCTTTTTTTTTTTTTTTTTTTAAATTTATAAAATAAATAAGGGGAGTCATGGAGAGTCATTATCCAATCTGCGTGCTGGCCCACGTATGTGCAAGTCTTGTCATCCATATTTATGTTCTTGAGTTTTACAGGCGTACAACTCTAGAATAGGTTTGATTTTATTGAGAAACACTGCTAATTTGACCTATCTGTTCTTTAGAATGGATATTTCCCCTCCTGCCTCCATTTTTTATGCTTTAAGCAGATCAATTTCATTGCTTGAGCTACTCTCCAGGGAGTTTCGTATAACAATCTTATGTGGGCGTAGTTAGAGTGAATTTCAAAGGGATGGAAAACGGGGTGAAAACTGTGCTATTACACTTCTTATGGTGTTCAGTGAGTTGGGACCTTGTTGGTTTTGCCAGTTTGACTCACCGTATGGGATGAATTAGAATGTACAATGACATAATAAATATTGCAAACAAATAAGTAAAATCGGTTCTCTTTACTTAAATGGTGCCTCAGAGGGGACTTAAAAGAGACTGCGGGGTCTTTCTTGATTTTGTTGTTCACGTATTTTGGTCAGTTGATAACATTGTTTAAGCCAATAACTTGTTAACAGGCAACTTTCCTGGATGAGTCATTCAGCGTAGAACATGCTCGGGAACTCGGACATACACATTTAGCTGAGGTAATATGAAGGCTACGTAACCTTTCAGGTTCTTTATAGGCAGCTTGACATAATTAAGGTGCATGAAGATGAACTGTTGCTTCTCTTTTCTGTCATGTATGACCGAGGTTTTATTTTTAATTCTACCAATGTCATTCAGTCTTGCTTTTGTCATTATCGTTTTTGTGGCTAAACATAGTTACAGATGGATTCAACTAACTAATTATCAGTAACATGCCAAGCTAATAAAGATGAACTTCGTGTCCGCCTTGACAATTTGGTACTGTGCCCGAGTGTTGTATTGAGTAACTTCCTCATTAAACTTGAATTATATTTGCAGATCATTGGAAATGCTCAGTGGATTCACAACAAAGCTGTTTTATTAACTCATTTTTCGTCAAGATATAATATAGAGGTAACCTTGTTCTCTTTTCCTATGTGGACATGTGAACAGTGTGAAAATCCTTATTATTTCAGTGAAGTTGACTTTTGACATGTTTAATTATTTTAGTGAAATTTGGCCCTCGAGTTTTGAAGTTTGAATTTATCAAGGAATTTGTTATTCCTATAATATTCTTGGTGCTACATAAGGTTTATTCACATTTAATTCATAAGAAATTGCATTGCATATTGAGAATTCAACGAGTACTTCTGAGCCTAAATTCTGTCATCTTCAGGACATTCGTCAAGCTACATCAAAATTGCAGTCAAAGGTATCGGCAAAAGTGGTTCCTCTCACTGAAGGTTTCAAATCAAAGTATTCTTAAGTGTTAAAACCATCTCAAGTTCCCTGCGCCAAGAATTTGACGGGAGTGCTGGTATGAGTTAAGGCTCACATGAATTTCAAGTAAAGGTATTTCGAAAGATATGGTTTATAAGTATTGGGAATCAATTCAATATCTGCATTAGTATCAGCAGATCAGTAGTTAGTGCATAGAGGGCTGTTATCAGTTGAATTGTGATAGGAGCATTTTGTAGTTATATTGTAAATTATGAAGGTGTACTCATTATCTTGCCATTTCATATATAATGTATTGTTTACTGTATTTTAGATTTTGCATGTGCTAAATTAAAATACTATTAAGAATATAAAAATAAGTTGAGATTAAATCTGAGCCAACTAGCTTTAATCTGAATGATTCAAATTTAGTGTTGATCACCACAAGTCATTCCAACTTGAGTTTACTATGTTCCTTAACCCTTATTTTCTAATTCTTCCTAGGCACGCACTTCCTTTTATGACATCAAAATAAACCAAACGGTAATATTTCTTGTTACTTTTTAAACCCGAAAAAAAATTGAACAAGTTTTTAATCAAAATAATATTTTTCAACAATGATCCTTTGAGGAGCTCATGGGATGAGAAGCCACTCAATAATCGATATTATCTCATTTTGGCAAGTTTCGTGTTGTATGTTCATCGCCTTTTCAAGCTAACGAATCATGAATAGCTTTTAGTTTCCCTACTATTACCACACATATATGCAAAATACTTCTGGCTTCCTTCATGAGCAAAGAACCAAAAACTTTGATACTCTTTCAGCCTTAAATATAAAACCCTTTTTATAGTGTATTATAAAAAAAGTCTTGTATTTAGAACCAAAGGAGTGCATGACAATGACTAAAGCTTCAAATGATTATCAAGGTAAAAAAAAAAAGAAAAAGAAAAAAGCTTCAAATGATTATAACGGTGTGTTACAAATTTGAGAAAATTAGCAGCAAATTTCTTCTTCCTCTCTACACCATAGTAATCCCTCCTTATTGCTCCACAAATTTTTCCTCTTAAATAACTTGAGTTGAAAAAAGGAATGATCACTAAAAATGACATTTAATGGCCACATCTCACCTTTTGTGGCTTGGTACTTTTTGTTAATATTGTCCCCGCCCCCTGCTCTTCTCCTCTTTGGTAATCGCTAATTATTGGTCCATAAGTTATTGTAGGTGTTAGATTTCGTATCCATCTTTGACAGGCCAAAATATTTAATAAGATTAGAAAACTATTTTAGAAGTACCTATATTTTTTTCAATTTTTAATTTGGTATCTCTGTATTTTCTTTTTGCTAGAAGTATTTTTTTTCCCAATTAAATCGTTAATTTTACTCTGTTAATATCATTAGCAGTTGTACAGGAACAAACAGCGCCAATAGAGCAAAATTATAGAAGCTAACGGTACTAACAGAGCAAAATTTAAAACTTTGATTAAGAAAAGACACATAGGTACCAAATTAAAAATTAAAAGAAAGTATAGGTACCTACAAAACATCTTTTTCTAAGATTATTTACGTGATTAAATATCACATAATTTAATTTATATAATCTGAATAATCTAAATATTAGGTACATTTGATTAAAGTTAATATGTTTAGATTATAATCATATTTTTGGATTAAATCAACATTTAATTTAATCATCCAATATTGGGAATGTAAGATTTAAATGAGTTCAGATTCAAATCATATATTCTTTCTCATTGATTGAGATAATGGAGAGATTGTAATAAATCAAAATAGCATGCAATATTTTAAAAAGACAACATATGGGTATTTTATTTTCTTAAAATATTCCTACTCATCTCTATATAAAATGGAGTCGAGTTATTTCTCCTCTCTTTTCCTAGCCAGCTGGTTAGGGCAGTCGACTTGGATCCGAGTCCGGTAAGTTTCCTCAATCCCTCTTCAATTTTGCTTTTCCTTAACACTAGGGGACCATGCCTTTGCGAGGTTTTTCTCCCGCTGAAAGATTGCCCGTGTTTTTGGAATTCCCAGGATGTTGAGATTAGCTTATTTTTAAAAAGAGAATTACAATCAAATCTCACAAAAAAGAAATAATTACCAAAAAGTTCCAATAACAACCTTAATATTACCTCCGGTTCTTAATATAAGACCATATTTGACTTTTATTTTGGTCCTAAATATAAGACCCCAATCTACTTTGTCTATCATATTTATGCATCTTTTTCCAAGATAATCCTTCTAATAATTGTAGTCCTAACCAATATAGTTGATTAGTAAGGATATTTTAAGAAAAACAATACCTATTTATTACAAATAACTAACTTAACTTCTTTCCTTAATCTTCTCAAATTAGTCAACGGGGTCTTATAATTAAGACCGAAGGTAGTAGTCTATAATGACAGGTCCTATAATTAAAATGACAACTCTTGGGACTTGTCTTTTAATTATTTTTCTTACTTGGGACCTTATTGTAATTCTCTCTGTTTTTAATTTTATCTCTGTTTTTTTTTTGACAAAATAATTTATTTAATAGTTTCCCAGCTTATTGGGCCTCCATCCTGTATTCGGCCCAACTATGCCCCTTCAATGAATTTACGGTTTTTTTTGTTTTAACAAGGACAAATGTGGACCCCACAAAGTACTTTTCTATCCTTAATACTTTTTTTGTCCTTAATATATGACCTAATTATTAAATTAATTTTGGTTTCAAATATAAGACTTATTTTTTATATTTATCAATTTTTTCTAAGTTATCTCATAGATATTCCCTTAACTATAATGAAATAAGTGTGAGAGAGAGAATATTAAAAAAAAATAATTACAATGTTTTAGGAAAAACATGTCATATTTCTTATAATTAACTAACTTACCTAACTTTTTTAATCTAATCAAATTAGTTAAACAGATTTTATATTAAAGACTGGAGGAGTATAAGATTTAATTAGAGAGTTAATGTTGGTCCTAAATTAAGACATACTTCATAAAATTATTAAATTTTCTTCCAAATTAACCCTATTAATATTTCTCTAATAATAATAATAAAGCAGGAAAAGAAAAACAATGATGCATCATTCTCGGCCCACCGAAATAGGTTGGAGAGCTTTGGGTTTTGGGCGCCACTGCTCACATATTTGTGGCAGCTGGAAACCTTTGACCAGTCAACACCTTCTAGGGGGTTCTCAGGCCGGTAAATGGGCCTCTAGCATTAAAAAAAGCCCATTGTACTTGCGGGAAAGTCATTTCCTTCCATGTTAGTTAACTAATTTTTTTAAAAATAAGTTGATTCATTTAAATTATTCCTGCGTTTAATTATTGTTCTAAGGGATTATTAATGTGCGTAGTTTGAAAAAATTACTGTTTTTTATTAGGAGCTAATTGTAAGATTTGGTCTAATCTTAAATATAAGATATGAATCTACTTTATGTTTTATATTTACTAATTTTTGAATTAATTTGTTTAACTTATAAATTAATATATAAAGTACATCTTTATATCATATTTGTTATAATTAATCAAAATTGTTTGGTTTTTTTAATTTATCTGAATTTGTTAACTAGTGCTTATATAAAATTAAAAATAATAATAAATATGAAAAATAAATTATATTGAGATTTTATATTTAAAGTTAAAAAAAAAATTCCTCAGCTGTCTTTCACATTTAGAACGGCAAAGTCCTGAGTATTCAATATAGAAAATCAATTCTTAACTAACTAATTCATATGAAAGGTATTATCTAAGGGTGAAAAAATATTTTAATTGTAGTGAAAATTAATTTTCTTATAGGGGAATGGTATTTCTCCCAATTAGATTTTTCTATACAAAATATTATAAATTAAATTGGGAGAATCATAAAAAAAGACTGTGAAAATAGAAGAAACATACATAAGGACTCGTTACAATAATAGATAAGCAAATGATAACAATTTTTATAAATGAATCTCCGTATGCCATTTTTTATTTTCAGGATTTTTTTTAATGATTTTTGCAATTAAATTTCCTACCATTATGAGAGCCTGCATTACTCAGTTAGTGTGATTTTCAAAGTTTTTGATCTTTTAAGATTGATGTTGATGGCTAATTGGCTATCATGAATCATGATACTATTATATTTGATGTCATGAATTACGACATTATGACATAACATGTCCCTTTTTTTTTTTCCTGGCAAAAAAAGACATGTCCTTGTTTTAATCTCACAAGCTATATTAGGCGAACTGATGAAATAATCATGATATCTTACCCGACAATTCAGAATTTTGACCCCTTTTATCCACAAACCGATAAATCATATCCAACTTCTCATACCATATCTTTAGCCCCCAAAAAAATATGTTTTAAAAGTTTGAAATATAATTATTGGTTTTGTATTTCTATTAACAGTCATGTCGTCAATATAGTTAAAGTAACTTAATGAGATAAAAATTTTGTTGTTATCATCATCATGATTGACTTGATAACTTAGTAGCATAAACGTTTTTTTTTTTTTTTTTTGTAAAAGTTTGAAATATAACTATTGGTTTTGTACTTCTAGGGTTAAAGTGCATCCGACGGTCTGAACTATTTTCTTAAGTGCATCTAGTGTTTTAAAATTATTTGTAGTGTAATTTTACCTTTAAAATAATTAAAATGGAACAACCTCATATCTGTCATTAAGAAAGTGTTTAGATATCCTAAAAAGTGCTTTTCAAAAACACTTTTTTATAAATCGAGATAAATTCCTTCACAAATTTACCTCGTAGACAGGTAAATCATAGTTTAGTTTCCATTCAAAAACTTCCTAAATCTAAAAACGTCCGCTGAGCTTTTTCCATGTGCTCCTTTTCCTTCCCTTTCTTGCCCCTTTCACTCATCAACCACGCCGGCTATGGCGTCCTCCATCAAGTAAGGGCATTGTCAAGTAAAAGTGATTCAAGGTCATCAATTATCAAATTGTTAAAAACCAAAATTAAAGTGCCTCGTCCTCACTAAATCTTCCTGCATTACATATTCCAAAAAGTTCTCACCATATTCCATGACTATAGCTAGATGAGCTGGGGTCAGCAAAATCTGAGCACTGAATAATCTTATAATAATTCAATCAACTTCACAATGAATCTCTTCTTCCCTGTTGAAACAAAATGGGTCTTGCCTCCTGAAATCGAATGATGTTAGAATGTTTCAAGGATTTGTGATTTGTAACCTCTTTCTGTACATGCTCATAATCTGCAGAATCAAAGGCATGGGGGAGAAGGTAAGAAGAATAATCCCAGTAATTAAGGCAAAGATAAATAAACAGAGAGAAGGAACAAACTTGGAATCTCTCTCAATGAACTTGACGGCAAAGAACTCGCCGGTCCGTTTCTCTCTAACCAGCTTGGCAACACCGAAATTCCCAGACCCAATATCTTTGATTATCTCTCTTTCTGTTGACAATCTCCACAATAGGTTCTTAAAAGATAATAATCTTCTTCACTTTCTGATGGCAATGACGATGAGGATACTGTAGAGCTCGAATTTAAGTTATCATTCTCGCTCCCACCTTCCACCACGAAATGCCCTCACATTCACAGTTCCCACCAAATTCTCTTGGCACAGAAACTCATCGCTGAAAATTCTCTCCACTCCTCTGTAAAAATCGTGCAAGAAATCATGCTCGCTCTCTCATTGCTGGCCCTGCCTTTCTTGCTCCTCGCCAGAAGCCGCCGCTGTTGATGAGTGAAAGACGGGGACAAAAAGGAAGGGAAAAGAGCAAACGGGAAAAGCTTAACAGACGTCTTCAATTCTAGGACAATGATAGATCTAAGAAAATACTACCTCCGCTATTAATTATAAGAATGAGTTGATTAATTTGAAAAAATTAAAGAAATAAGTTAGGTTAGTTATTTGTAATAAATAGTGTTGTCTTTCCTAAAATATCCTTACTAATTAAGTATATTGGTTAAAATTATAATTATTAGAAGGATCATCTTAGAAAAAATTGAGTAAATGTGAGAAATAAAATGGATTAGGGTCTTATATTTAAGACTAATATAAAAATTAAACAAGATTTTATATTAAAGATCGAAGGTAGTAATGGGGAGTGATGAGTACATCTTAACCCTATTTCTATTAACAATCATGCCGTCAATATAATTAAAGTAACTTTATTGCTGTCATCGGCGTGATGGATTTTGTAACCTAGGAGCATAAATATCTTTAGGATATTTGAATTATCTAGGATATTTAGATTGGTTAGATTTTTTTAGGATTTATTTAAAATTACCATTATTTTATTATTTTAGTATTAGGATTAGTGGTTATTATTATTATTTTAATGGGTGTTTGGATAGAAATCAAATCATAGTTTCAGAAGTGTTTTTACGGTTTACGAAGTAAATATGTGAAGGAATTTGTCTCATTTTACAGAAAAGTACTTCTGAAACCATGCTTTGAAAGTTACCAAACACTCTTTTAGTATAATCAGGTTGATAATTATCTTTACTTCTTTTTTCCTTTCCAGACTTTTCTTTTTTTTTTTTTTCTATTTTCTTCTTACTCTCTTTTTTTCTTTCTTCGATCTCTTCTCCCGCTCATTCTTTCTCTCTGTGTTTTACACAAGACGTGCTAATCTCATGCTATTTGGTGTTATTCCCTTTAAATAAATTTTTTTTAAAGGATTCGTTCCCTTAATCTATCTAATCCGTGACGATCAAGATTATTATGGTTATAATATTAAAAACCGGGTCTAACAGTTTTATTTTATTTTATTTTTCCTTTTGATGATAAATGTGTGCCGGACCTATCCATTCATAAAACAAAATAAAAATGGCAAATGATGACTTATCTGGTAAGTCAGGCAAGAAGGGAGAGAGAGGGAAAGTCGCAACATCATCAATACGACAATCATGACTTTATCCACAATGTTCATAGATTCTTACTCATTCATGAGCATTAGATTTATACGCTGAATGTTACCGTAGGATTATGTTAAAATTTTTTCCATGACGGGTGTTTGTGTTATTAGGCAAGTTCCATGAGATCTAGGAGAAAATGAAAGGAAGCCTGATTGCTCCCTGTCACGTGGCTTCCGAGGATCTTAACAATCAATATATTAATACACCGCTAATCTGGTCTGGTGTTGCCGGGTCACACATACCTCTCTGAAATATTTGATTGAACCAGTGAGATAGTGTCTTACTGATGCAATCTCATAGGAAGAAAGAAAGTCAGGAGATTTCCTACTAGGAGCCTGTGTTTTCGTTTATTTTTTTTGTAATTCTTTAAGCCCCTTTCTGTTGTTTTCTTACAGTCTCTTCCGCGCTATTTCATCGATGAAATCGTACTAATCCGACTGAATTTGCTGTGTATTGATTTCCGAGTATTTGCTTATTTCAAATCGGACTTTTTTTTTGTTCTTCTTCGATTCTGGGCTTGAAGGGAACATTTGTGGTTTATATTATGAGGAAAAGGGAGAGGGAAAATCCTTGTGGGGTATGCGGCCACTATCATAAATACGAAGAAGGGGAAGTTTGTTCGATTTGCGGCCACCGCATTCCGGCTGCATCGGAGAAAACTTCAATCCGAGTCAGCGCCTTCCCCTCCGTGATTTTGCCAGAATTCCTTTACTTGGGCAGTTATGATAACGCATCACGTTCGGAGCTTCTCAAGACTCAGGGAATCTCTCGAATCCTCAATGTAAGGCTTCTTCTGTCATTTATTGAATATGCGATTCAGTGATGGTTATTTCGTAGCCCTGGCGTTGTTTGGGATGGTAATTTCAATATCTCATTAATCAACTTACTTCTGATAAATCTTTTAATAGTTTTATTAGATTGTTATTCATTGGCATTTGATCCTTCGATTTTGCGCGTTGGTATTGGATCCGTCGAGTCCTTTTCTCTGTGGCATTTGGGATTTCGATGTAATGATGCGATAATTATAGACAAGAAAGAAATGCACAAATGTTTTAACTAAGCTCGCTTGTAATTGTACGGTTTCAGTTCTCATTCGAAATCTTTCGTTTAGTATTAACAGATCAAGGGGAACAGGTATAGAATCCAGGGTTGTTTGCATGACTTGAAATCTTGAGAACCATATTGATAATGGAGGCGGTTCTAAGATAACAGTTACTTGGTAAGCTGAGCCTGAGGAATGAGAAAGATCGTTTTGCTAGTTACTAATTCACATTCAAAAAATTAGCTGCAAACTGGAAGTTAATTTTAAATTGTTCTGGACCAAATTGCGAGGTTATGAGATTCGCTTCAAGCATCTAACTGGCCAATTAATGGAGGTGATGCCAGGTCAAACATTTCATGGTTTCCGATGATATGGCTTAAATGGGCTGATTTGACTTATTTTTACCCATGAAATTAATCTTTCAAGAGCTACATCTGTTGATTTCTTTGGGTGAAGTAAGTAGCTGGAATTAAGATAAAGGGAGTGACTAATTGTAGAATGGAGCTGCATCGTAAATACTCTACTTTATATTCTACAGACAACGGCTCCTTCAAGTTTGAGGAGTTCTGAGCATAGACATTATAAAGTAAAAAAGGATATTTCCTTATTGGTTTCTTGCCTTTAAGAGCGGCGATTGCCAATCTACTTGACCTAATGACTTTCTGGCACTAATGCCATTCAAATTGTTGCTTCATCTGTTTAGTGAAAGAGAATTGAATTTCTTTAGTTTCATGGTAATGAAACATAACTCCAGTGACGAATCTGTCAGCTCTGAGATCTTATCTAGGAATTTTTGAATCTTCATTTTTATATGACCTTGAACTTTGTGCCTTTACAGACGGTTCCTTCTTGTCAAAATCTCTACAGAAACTCATTTACCTACCACTGTCTCCCAGATGACAAAACTTTGCCTTTTGATGAAGCGATTCAGTTTCTAGGTATGTTTTTTGATACATTAACTTCATTACAAGATGTTTTAGCATTATTCCTTAACTTGTATAGTCTTTTATATCACTGCAAAATTTGCAGCCTCCTGATGAGATGATTCTTTATAAAAAGCCTGACACTTGCTTTTTGGTCTAGTCCAAGTATGGCTGTTCTGATTGTGTCATCCGGTCAGACAAAATGAGATATCAAATTACTCATTGCTTATACTTATAGTGCCTTTGGCATTGTAATTCAGAGAGAAACAAGTATCAGAAACTTTAGCTACCAATCTCTCCATCAGTGAGGGGCAGAGGGAAATGTTGGGCTTAAGGTTTTTCCACCCTGGTCTCTAAGGCTTTTACTTAGACTGCTAGTTTATTTTGAAAAATTGTGCTTAAATAATTTCTGACGAAGTTAATTGTTAGGTTTATTCTAGAATTCGAGGCTTCCTTAGAGTTTAATGGAATGCAACAGAAACTGATATTAATTGTATATGGATGGTGTCATTCCTTTGAGCTAAGTGAAGAGATAAGAAGTAAGAAGCTGGTGCTCACAGTGAGGAGAATGCTATAAAAGTGCAGGAAGAAGGAAGCAAAACAAACACCCTTCTGAACCTCTCTTGCCCCTAGATATATCTGTAACAGCTTACATTTTCACTCTACTAGCTCATGCCTGATGCGACCCAAAGCACCCATGTTGCTTACAAACTTCAACAGCCCAGGGGCCTTTTCCTTTTTAGACACCTCATATTGCAAGCCTTGGGCTCCCTAGCACAATCTTTTCTCTTCATTCACTTCTCATAGGTCTTTAGCACATTTGGCCCAGTAGTTATGGGTCAATCAGAGTCAAAGGTCCTTCTTTATTGAACCAGAAGTATTATTGTTATTTTTTTTGGTAATAGAGATAGCATAATTTATATATGCATATCATAAACTAGAACCTATTCAATTTTAATTCCCAACGATGGATTTGGCATTTTATTGTAAGGAAATTTGTCAAATTTGTTTTTTCCTCGTTCCTTCTGTATCTGCACATTAAAGTTTATGTTGCCTAACAGTGCTCTAAATTTTATTATGCTTACCCATTTTGCATTTCAAATATATTACTCAATCGTTCCTACATTATTGCTTTTAGAGGGTGAAGAGATATCTTTATACCCTAAAGTTTTAAAACTGTTATAAGTTGATGTAGAGGCTTCAGCAATCTATCTTTGCATAGTTGGTCCCAAAAGTCGTCGATGAATTAGACTTCGTATTTCATTGTCTGCCTTTTTTTTTAAAAAAAAAAAATAATTTCTTTTTTCATCTGCCTCAGTTTGACAGGCAACTCATGATCATTTCTCACTATTTCAACCATGCTTTCCATTTTTATAGGGGCTGAGTGTGCCCTCTTGTAGGACCCCCCCTCCCCCCCAAAAAAAAAAAAAAACTGCATGAGGTGTTTGGAATTTTGTCTGGATGAATATGGATACGGAGAAAAACACTATGTTTCATAAAACTAATGTTTTAGAAACTAAACTAGTAATAGTAATTGTATTAGTGGAGACACTGAATGCCATTCTATATCTGGTGATAAATGAATAAGCCAACATGTTTTTTGTATTAAAATTCGATGTTATAAACGATAACAAATCACATTTTTTTCCTTTTATATATATCAAAGTCAAAATAGAGCCTTGATGGAAAATCAAAATTCCTCTAGCACCATACTCTTCCCTCAATTTCACTTATGTGTTGGTATATGGAAGGTTTGGAATGTCTGCTTCAACTTCACTTGACTTAGAAACCTCATTGTTTCCTTGATTATTGCATTGATATAAGGAAGGTTTGGAATATCTACGTCATCTCACTGGGTTGCCAAACCAAATACTCTTTCTCTGGAGATGTCTGTCCGTGTGTGTGTGCGCACGCGCGTGTGCTGTATCGCTGGTCTTTTGTTCATTTCAGAGTATAAAAACTGTTGCAAAATTGTTCTTCTCAAAGAAATGATACTCAATTCCCTCTCTTAAGCTGAATTATAAATTGCATTTCCTACTTTCATAATTGTGCACACTTGACCATATATTGATTATGGAGGGGATGAGTTCTTCACTATCGTTTAGAGGGAAATCAAAAGCTTGTGCTTTCATGCTCTGACAGGCAATTTGATCTTGGTTTGCCTCTTTATTGATTATTAAAGTCACGTTTTTCAAGTCTCAATCAACAGTGCACTTATTTTAGTCCCACGTTGGCTGAAGAAAAAGAAGCAAAGGGGTGAATCATAAAAGAAAAGGAAAGCAACATTTTAAGCATATTTCTTTGACTGGGTTGTTGGGTAAACAATAAGGCCCATGAATTACTTGCAATGTTTAAAGCATATTTCCTGGAATTCCTGGAATGGGCCGTTGGGTAGCCAAGAAGTATATGGCTCTCTGAATTGGCAAGGCTACTGAGGTATTTGATCCGCTTGGATTTTTATTGGTTGTTGGCTGATTTTTGACTGGCTAGTTTTGTAGTCCACATGGATGGGAATGATAATTAGTTCTCAGGTTCTTTTGTTTGACTGGTTGATCTGGTTTGGTCTAGTTTATAAAAGCATGCTCAAGACATACATGAAATCATTAACTTAGACATAAATATATATTGACTATCAGAATCACTAATCATGTACTTTGCCGTGTAAACTTTGGCAAGCTATGTTAAATTCAATAACAAATAGGTTCATTGTCCTGATCAAGTTGCAAATTTTGTCATTGTATGCCTTTAGTTTCCAGTTTCCCTTTCCACCTCTCTTTTTTTTTTTTTTTTGGGTGGCTTTTACACTAGAATCAATACATTTTTGGCTGCAGAGCAATGTGAGAAGGACAAGGCCCGCGTTTTGGTTCATTGCATGTCAGGGAAGAATAGGTAAGTTATCACTATCATTTTTTGTTAATCATGGCAATGAAATATTCTGCTCGAATTAGTTCCAAATAATTTTGCGGTGGACTATAAAAAAAGGGGAACAAGAGCAGAAATAGTATAAAGGCATTTCGCCCTTGTGCTGCAGCCTTGAAAAAGGGGGAAGCAGTGAGGACATTGAAGGTTTCAACTATAAGGAAAGTTTTAGATCTGTGCAAGTTACAGTTCCCATGACTAATATATTTCTTCTGGCAGGTCCCCAGCTATTGTGATTGCTTACCTGATGAAGTCCAGGGGATGGAGACTCAGCCAGAGCTACCAGTGGGTAAAAGAGAGGAGACCTTCTGTGGAATTATCTGAAGGTACCTTTGCTTTCTAATTCCAGATTTGTTTCACAATTTTAAATAAGATTAAGATTATTTTAACTAAGAATTCATTTGGGTTAGAATTTAATTTTTCACTTTATTTTATTTTATTACTCTATTAGGATTTAAAATTTTTTGTTAGGATCCATTTCTTATTGTGCATCTTAAAATGTATCTTTTGGGTTTTATATAAACCTCTTGCACATTGGACTTGTATCAGTTTTCTCATTGGTTAATATTGATAAAATCCCGGTCCTTTACCCTTTCTCCATCAGATTTGGTTTATGGTTGGCAAATAAAAAGAACCAGATTTGCTTTATTCTTGCTACTGTTCCTACATCTGATCTTCTTAGTCCTTATGGAATGAAATGAATTAGCAGAGAAACTTGAATTTGTTAACATTGATAGTTCTTCCTACCCCTCCTACATGTCGCTAAGGAAATTGGATTCCATACTCATCTCAAAAGATGAGCATTGGGTGCTTATCTATAATATGGACCTTGTAGATTAAAATTGGATGGTCCAATTATTGAAACAAACTGTGATATGGAAACAAAAACCTCTAGGGCCTTCTAATCATGATTAACTTTAATAAGCATCTTAATTTCACACCTTGAATTGCAGGGATTTGAATTGACCCGAGGATAGCTGCAAGAATAAACTAATCCCGTAAATATTGAAATCATACATGGTAGAACAGAGAACATAATTTTGATGGGCAAAGAAGGAAGCGCACGATAGGGGTAGGCTGAGTGTCCTGACTAAACTCCAAAGAGAAGCATTTATTTATGGTGTGTTACAACAACAATAAACCTTATCCCACTTGGTGAGATTAGGAGCATTGATTGCAAGACGCCATTGCTCTTTATCAAGCCTTGTTTATTATGTGTTGGATTTAAAATAATAATAATACAGTTTCCAGCAGTAAATACTTGTTTGCAGTTAATGAAGCTGTTTCAAAATCAGTTATGATGAGTATATTGAATGAATCAGCGATAACGGGTTTTGTTTACTTTTTTCACCGCTATCTTTCTGGCTTGCATCCTTCCTTTCATAATGTAGGTGTTTCCCAGCAACTGCAAGAGTATGAGCGCAAGATCTATGGAGCGGTTGACCCTGGCGGCTCTCCTTTGTTTGGATTCTCAACTCCAGCACCTCCTCCTATTAGCTTTGGCTACCCAAGAGTTAATGATCCAGCAGCTCCTCTTCCTGCCTTTAGCAATCCTGGCGCTACCTCAGTCTTTGCCCAAGCTCCCTTAGACGTGCCCCCGACTGACTTTACTTTTGGAGCCGGTCAGACTCAAAACAGTGTAATTGGGAGCCCATTCAACGCCAATCCACCAAATCGAACTGGCAGTGATGCCCAGATGGATGGTTCTTGATTCCGGCTAGAATAATTCACGATGACCAGTACGGCAACTCTGATGAGCTTTATTATCTGGAGCATAGAGAGTGGTGAGGGTAAAATGCTCATACATTGTAGCTTCTAAGACTTGGCTGGTGCTAAATTTATAGACTAAGGTAAAGTTTTTTACGTGTTTGTTATCAAGTTTTTCAATAAAAATTTGACATGTAAAGGAAATCTGTTGAAAGATCCAGTTATGCAGTGTTGAGTTATTAGAAACATACACTTGTCATATTTTCATTGTATAACTTGATAACAATCACATAAAAGTTGTACCCCGAGTTTAGGATGCTGTCCTGCAAGCTGCCTTGCTTCAAATCGAGATGCGAATGATCACAAGTGACTGATAGATACTATACAAGTTCATTCTCTCTTATTTATTTTCGACTCATTTCATAGTTTCCTGGTTGTAGTAATGAATTACAGCTGATTTGCTGGCCTGATGTGCCTGCTCTTCTGCAGAGCCGCACTTGGATTTTCCGGTTGTTAGACATTACAAGCGGAATTGTACAAGATGAAATAGGTTACGGTACTCTTTATCTACGCATTCGGTATTGTGTTACTCTTGCAGGGGGTGTTTGGATAGAAATCAAACCATAGTTTCAGAAGTGTTTTTACGGTTTACGAAGTAAATATGTGAAGGAATTTGTCTCGTTTTGCGACAAAGTGCTTCTGAAACTATGATTTGGAAGTTGTCAAACACCCCGCAGTCATACTCGTTTGCAAACTGACTTTTCATTTGAAGTCTCTGCCCATGCGGCCTGATCTAGACTTGACTAGATTACGAGTCTGTTTTCTTGTGGTGTCTAATCTGAATCGTATTATTCGTAGATTATGATTAGTGGAATGTAGCTTCCTTGTGTGTGTGTTTTAATTTGTATGCCCCTTGACTGAAAATAATCAACATGTGCCACCTCATTATTCAACCAATATAATCTTTCTTGAACAAACTCCGAAGATAAATTTAACAGAACCATTTTGTTAGGTAATATTGATCATTAATAATTACAATAATGGAGGATATTGTGTTCAAATTCAATAGCCAATGACCAATCATCAATATAAGATGTAAAATATAGAGCAACTTGTTTCTATCGTACTCTGCGTAATGCATCATTCTCGTGTTTAATTATGAACTATTTGTCGTGTAAGCAAGGAGCCTGGCTATTTATTTAGAGATGGCAGGAGTCGTTCGTTGGTTTTTTGGACTTATTTCACATAAAACGTCCCCTCAATCGACTTAAGGGTGTTTGGGTATTAAAATTTTTTTTTTTAAAAGTGTTTTTTCTTAAATTGAGATAAATTTCTTCACATATTTATTTTATATACTATAAATCTCTTTTAAAAATTATTGTTTTAATTCCATCTAAACACCCCCTTAAACTATTAAAATTATAATAAATTGTATTAGTAATAAATTATAAATATTACAGCTTTTCTTTATAAAATTCTTTGTGAATAAACTACATGAATAGCACGTTTGTATTAAGCTTTATGCCTCACCTTTTTTGGGCAATACATTTGAAGTAAGAAGATGTGAAAAGATTGGAACAGGACATAGGTTAAGAGGATCCATGACCTCATGTCTCATTCCAATTATCAAAATCCTCCCCCAGGTCTACTCTGAGCACAATCAAACGGTGACTTATCGGACAAGACAAAATCTGATGTTCACACATGGGTTTAGGCTGACGTTCCTCCTTTTGACTATTTACAAAATTTAAAGGTCAATACTTAGAATTGATTCCTTTGTATGTATCAAGACGAAGTAGGAAGTATGAGTGTTCTTCAGACTTCACAAAATTGGATGAAAATTTTGACCCAAAAAAGAAAAAATCGATGAAAAGAAGATTACCTTGAGCTAAAGTTATTTAGATAATAACCCGATAAATCCAGTAATATTTAATATTAGACAGCTAAATCATACAATTTACTTCAGTCAGAGACATAATAATGACAAAATCTTCCTTGGATTTATATAGCCCAACCTCAGAACACATCACAATTCACAAAACTAGAATTCGAATCTGCCCAACACTACCTTACACAAATTACGCTAAAACAAAATAGACACACCCCACTCTTAGATATCCTTATCCTATACTAAACTTTATTCCACCACTTCTAAATTTGATATACTTATATATAAAGATTCGACAGAAATAAATAGGAAGTAGTACAGGACATTGAAATTCAACAATGTAGTTTAGGGATTTAATTATATTGTTTTCATAGGAATTCAGTTAAAACATTCTTGACCACATAATTGGCAACAATGCCGTTGGTTTTCTCAGTCGGATGAAAAGAATCCCAGAAAACGTATTTGGAAGCATCTGAACAAGTGAACATCTCCCCTCTCCTGCAGGCATACCCCATCTCGAACATTCCTGTTGCACAACACGCCACTGAGGTCGATTGAAACCCTGTTCCACACGAAACATCCTAGTCAACTCCGAGATAATTAATTATATCTAATTTTAATCTCAAACAGAGGATAAATATTTAATACTAGTATCCAGTTGACTCATTTGTGACTAATCTATGAAGATTAAGAAAATTATTAAATTACTTAGCATAATCTCTCTAAAATATGTTTGTATATCGTTATAGTATATGCTAATTCATAAGCGAGGCAAGTTAGTTTTGAGAAAAATGATAAATATAAATACTTAGTAATTTTTTTAATCTCTTCAAATTAGATCTTATCTTAACGGGCAAGGTAGTAAATGGAAATCGGACTTACCATACTGGGCAGGTTTTGTTATGATGCGCTGTAAAATGAAATATGGATTAGAAAACGCGAGTCTGATCCCAGGTAGCTCCTTGTTCAGCTTCATGGTCAATCTCTTGAGCTTATTGTTGAACTCCAGGGCTATGGCGTTGTAACTGGGAACACATTCATTACCACCAACGATGTTTGTGGTTCTCTCTAATGGCAGGCAGCCCATTGGAGGGAGGCCTCCTAGGGAGATCCTCCGGGCACCCAGACCGTAGAGTTTCCTGATGAAGTTCTCGGCGATGCCGGCGAGGAAATTCTCGTATTGCTGAGGAGTGTACTCCGACGACCGGCCGGGAATGGTGTAGTAATTCTCCAGGAAGTCGTTTGTTCCCAGACTCATCATGTGTAATGCTTCACTTATGGTCTGGTTTGCCCTGCTTTCTCCAACATGCCCTCTTAGCTTGTTTTGGTAATCTTTGTAATACTCCATTTGCCTCCATAGTGGTATCACCGACTGAAAATGACAAATATTTGTTTTTGTCAATTTACGTTACTTTTAAAAGCTGTCAGCTTCATAATTCTTGAAGGAATTTGGCTGAAGCTGACACCAAAAAACTGACAAAACTCAAAAGTTAGAACCATGAAAGCATGAAACAACGTAATGTGAAGAGAAGAAGACAATAATTAATTACCAAAACATCGGAAGTGGCGTTGTCGTAACCAGTAGCGGCAGAAGCGAAGGTGACCCCGGTGGCGAAATCGGAAATGTTATACTTTGGATCCAAGTACGCCGGAATGTATGGCTTCAGTCCGACAGCCTCAGAGATGAAGTCAGTGGGTATCCTTCCATTGCTGAACCTCCCTGTAGCCTTCCCACCCTGAAAGTCCCTCCCATAAGGCTCGAAGTTGCTCCGGGCCACCGTGGGAATGAAGTTATTGTTCCCAGCGTCCACCGACGAGTCACCGAACACGATGACCGCCGGAACCTTTGAACCGCTGGTTCCGGTCACTAGGAGTGGGAGAAAGATGCACAAAGTAAAGTGTATGCATGAGAGGGATGATGATGAGATCGCTTTGTTTTGGTGGCCTTGCATTGTTGGAGCTGTAAGTGACTGTGATTTCTGGGATGAAGAGAGATCAGAGAAAGCGAGAGCGGTAAAGACAGGGATGGGATGGGAGAAGGTGAGATCATAAATGACATATTTGTGGGGGAACCATTAATTAATGCAACTTTGATCTTTTGATCTTTGGGCGGAGAAGTTGTTGAAATTCATAATTGCTCCTCACAAAACCACCCTGCGATTTTTTATGTTCATTACTACGACCACCACCACAGTGACATGGTTCCACATTATTAATTAGTTATTACTCTTTATATTCTCAATATAAGATTTATTTAACTAATTTGATTAGGTTAAGAAAGTTAGATAAGTTAATTAATTATAAAAAATATAATATTTTTTTCTAAAATATTATAATAATCTTTCTTAATATCCTTATGTCTTTTTCTATTTGATTATGGTGGAGGGAGCATCTATAGAGATAATTTAGAAAAAAATAATAAATATGAAAAATAAGTTTTATATTTAATACCAAAATCAATTATACAATTAGGTCTGTATTAAGGACCGGACGAGTATTCATTAGGATGATGATGATTATATCAATTGACTTGAGATAAACTTGGGATCAGTTTTTCTCCCCAAGTAATGTGGAACTCGTATCTTAGATGTCATGTGAACGCAATACCCTGCCGGTGATCCTAACCTGGACTGGTATTTATCTTAACTTCTATTTTCAGAATATTTAGTATTTTTATGCCTATAATTTTACCTCCGTTGTAATTTAATCGTTAAATTTTGATTCAACACAACTCAAATACTATAATTTTGATTTTATTTAGAACTCGATAGCTAAATCTTGATTAATTGCAAGTTAGGAAACTTTAGTCTACTTAATTTCATTAAATATAACTAAGTGAGAACTCCGAACGAAATTAGTCAAGTGATAATATTAAAATATATATACACACACAGCTGAATGAAAATTATAAGGGCAAAAAGATTGATAATTCGTTTTTCTTAATTTAACTTAATACTAATTGTTTGAAATTGAGAAAACTATCTTTTTCTTCCACTGGTAGACAGCTAGAAAACTGTCTCTATTTTAAGTTTTGTTCCAAAATTGGTGAGAAATATGCACTTTTTTGCATTGAAGTTTATTTGGTAGAACACGTACCCCTGCTTGAGTCAAACAATAATGAAGGATTCTGGATTAGTAAGGGACAAAAGCTTAATGTTCCCAATGTGTCAGCCTTAAACGTCACAAATTAAAGTACAAGGAATTGTGGTTATCCTTTATAAATAGTCATATGCAACACAATTATATAAATATTGATATGGATATCCTATATTGCTATGTATCACGAGGACAAAAGAATTTGTCATGGTTTTAATCTTTTTTTTTTTAATGCTTTTCTCTCATTGTCTTATTATTTATTATTTATGATGGACTGTACTTGTTCAGCTCCAAAAATAACCTTTCAACCCCAGGATCCATTGGGTGGTAGGCCACACCCTTTCATACATTATTGCAGATTTTGTATCATATTATTAATGATTTATCAGCAATAATGGATCTTGCTGTAAATTTTGGTTTCAATGAAATTGTTGCTCCACTCAAATTTTAAATTTTATACTCATGTTGATTGATTAAACGTAATTATACCATTTCATTCTGCCGTAAGTGCTTATACCTATTAAACTTGCTGCAAAGTTTTGTATATAACAAAAATTTCAATAAATCACATTTATGCCATCTCTAGTCTCCACACAAATTTGCCATAGATTAAATTTCAATTTCATCAAAGCAAAAAAAAAAAAGGTGTCAAAATACCAAAATTTAAATAAAAATAGGAAAAAAAAACACTGTACTTGCATAAGGCGGAAGATGGGAAGAGACGAGCTGGAGAAGTATATGAGAATGAGAGAGATGATTTCAGGAAAAAGATGTAACAATAAGGAAAAGAGTTGTGGATCAGAATGTGTGTTTTGAGTAGTAAGGATGACTTTCAGAACACAAGTAGATGCATATATAGGAGGACCATTCTTGAACAAACATGTAGATATAATCGATGTGCAATAAAAGCTGCCTCAACAAGAAATACTACTCTTGATATTAATGCATCTATCCACTTCTTCACCTATTAATTCCAAAGGCTTTAATTTCCATAATTTTCTAGGTTCCCCAATTAATAATATATATTTTCTAGTCTTATTTATAAGGCATTCTAGCAATATGTTTCAGCAGAATCAATAAAAACTTTAAACCTTATTAGTCTTATCTTAAAATGTAATAAATTTTCAACTTATTTTTCTTACTTAATATCTACTACTTTAATAAAAATATAAAGTTAAGACAATAATAAATAAAGCTTAAAATTGAACATGAATTTAATCATGTAACTTATAAATAGAATTAGAATAAATCTTCTTCCTTTGCTTTATGTAAGTCCAAAATGCTGCTTCATGAGTAGTCATTGCCTCTTTAATAATGTTCTATCTTCTTCTGGTTTCATGACACAGGCACATGCCACCCTCTCATATATTTTCTGGGTTCAAACTTATTAGAAATTAAAGCACACATGTACACTATTAATTGTTTTCTTAAGTAAGACAGAGAAATTGAAACACGCACCTACACAAGTGAAGAGATTTAATGCATTCTGATTATGAGATGTTTAGTGGGCGAAAAAAAAAATTACTAATTAAAACTGATGCGAAATAGAAAAATTCATGTTTGTGATATAAAGAACAAAAAAGATGTGGGAGATCGAATTAATGAGGGAGGGATGCATGTGGTTGCAACCGTCCGTGAAAGAGAATTCCCACACACACAGACTCATAAATTTTAAAGGCTTCCTTATTCAATTCTCCCACCAGAAAATGAGGTGATCCCATGTTCCTGTCTCTCTCTAGTTAAGTGCAACCACCTTAATTGTGTTCCACTGAGTTTTCGTGCTGCTATCGTAAGTATCACATTTATTTGTTGTCTCTGGCTCAACATCTGATGGATGGGTGTATGTGTTTGATCCGAAGTTGTGCACTGTTACTCATGATCTCCTGTTAGTGTAAAAGAACCATCGTTGACAAAGCAAGAGATCTCTTGATTCATTGATCAAGGACCTGTTTGGTTTGAAGGGAGGGAGGGGAGGGTGGGGTAGGGAGGGGAAGGGGAGGTTTTATCCTCACCTTGTTTGGTTTGATTAAAAAGAAGATGAGGGAATGATATTTAATGATCCATTGTTTGATTCAAGAAAGGGCGGGAGGGATAGTAATAATTAATTTATCATTTTACCCTTACACATTAGTTTATATTTTTATTGATATATTATATAAACCAATTTACATCTTAATTTAAATTATATAATTTAATAAAAATTCAGTCTCATCATGTTAATATGTGCATTAAAAAATTGGTATAGTAATTTTTTATTCTAATTAATATAATAATATATTTGAAATAATCAAATTAACAAATTTTATATGCTCTAAGAAAAATGAAATTTTATTCTCTTTAGGCTATCCTTTTTTTCAGCTTTAAAATATATGTAATAAATAATATATTTATAAAAAACAATTCATTTTATAATATTATAATTTTTTATTTTTAATTAATATTTGTTATAATATATTTTTTAATTATAATAATTTATATTTTTTATGTTTTACTTAGGATAATATAATTTTTATTTGAAATAAATATTATAATAATATATTTTATAAATAGTAGTGGAATATTAAAAAAAATGACCTAAAAATTTAGTTCCCCTCTGAAAACTCCTAATTTGGGAGGAGCTAAAATGAGAGGAGGGGAGGAGACATTTTGGCTTCCCTCCTCTGCTCTCCAAAATTTTTAATCAAACGAGGAAAAGGTTCATTTTCCCCCTCCTCCCCTACCTTCTCCTCCAACCAAACACAAAAGATTCAAACGTTATTGATGCATTAAGAAGACAATACTACCTGGGCTATTTTCTTGATGATGTCTCTGAGAGTCTATTATTGTTGGATTGGAGCCATGAAGAGATTGGAATGACTTAGCAAACAAGCCGATCGAACTTTGCTAGCAACAGCTCATAGTCATTCGATTTCCTTCCATCACAAGAGGGTCGCAAGATTGAGGTTCATAAACACTTGTAAAAGAGTCTAAGGATTCACCATATATATATATAATCACCCATAATAAGGTTTAGGGTATCATGCATCCCCCTCCCCATGAAATATCCCGACACAATCAATACCATCCACTCTAAACTGAATTTGAAATGCACTTTAAAGGTCTCATAATACTTCTGAATTTGAAATCACAAGGTTTTATTCCAGTTCAAACGCAAATCTCTAACTAATAACATGCATCTGCATACGCATAATAATGCTTTTCCGCTTCTTCCATCTGCTCTTTTCCTTCATTGCTCTTCATCAGATGACTCATCATCTGTATATGAGCACAAACTCACACGTCAACATAATATACCGCATTAAAAAAAATATGCTTTTTGAGTGAATAAAATAAATATTTGATCAAAATCATTAATAAGATAAATTTTTAATTAATCAATATGTGCGTGCTATGAAATAAAGTTGATATCTTTCTATTTTCTTGAAGTGAATAATAATAATTAAATTTTGGAGTTATAAGTTTGCTGGATACAGAAATTCTAAGATATCAACTAATTAGAAAGAACAAGCAAGTCTATGGAAGTTCAGATCTTTATGAGTTGATCATGAGCTTAAGGACTGACAAGTAATATAAAGAGGTAGTTAGGAACAAAGATTTTTCCTCTTTCCTTTTGGAAAGAATACTAGAATCATAGATTAACATTTTAAGTACAAATTTCAGGTCTGTAACAGAGACTTCGCTGGGAAGAAACTCTGTTTTATTAAAAAATGGTTAATCAATAGAGTAGATTTTGTAATATTTGTTTCAATTGTATATATTTTTAATGGATCATTATGTTTAAATAAGGAAACCGTGGGAGCAAGATAAATAGTGAAATACCTATGGTTTGGGTGGAAGCGGCTTGCAGGGAGGAAAAGTCCAATTTTGGGCATTCATCTATCTGGACTTCTTGGAGTTCGAGTTTGGAGCATTTAGCTTGAATCCTTTGCAGAAGTGAGTGAGGGCTGGCAATTTTGAAAGTGTCAATAATTCTAGATGTGGAAGCACAAGTTCTTGCGTACTGGCAGTTGCTTCATCACTTTTATGTGAACAGAGCTCCTCCATTTGTGTGCCTCTGATACGCCAATGCATTCCTGTGGCGGAAGCATTCCAACATCAACGTACCTGAGAAGGCATTTCAACTTGTTGCAGCGTTTCACTGTTATGCTCCTCAATTGTGGAAAAGGCAACTGCATATAATTCGAGTTGGATACAGTATTCTGAGCTTCTTCCCAACGACTCTGCATGATTTCCTCTACTTCCTCACATTCTGTAATTTCTAGATATTTCAGTTGTGGAAGGCTTCCCCAAACAGACATGGAGAATATACATTTGAGTTTTCCACATCCATGCACTCTTAAAGAATAATATACTGGAAGCTCAAACTTTGGGAGGAAGTGAAAGCCGTGCATATAAAACTCAGCTCGCTTAGATTTTGGAACTCTAATTCCTCTAATGTCAACAGGTCTAGATAGAAATATGGAAGTTGATGAAGCGGTTGGTTGCTGTTGTTGGCGTGAGGCTTTGCTTTCTATGCAACACACAAATGAGCATATTAATGAACTAATAGAGAAAGAAAGCCAAATAAAGACATTTAATGATTCGGCCAATAATATATAGTGTATACATAATACAAAGTAAAGGCAATTCAAGGCTCTAAGTATGACGTGTTTAAGCAGCGCTAACTTTTTTTATTTTATTGTCGTCCTCCATGCGAAACAAACAAAACCAACACTCGAATACAACTTACCTGTGTAAACGATATAATCCGCATGCTCCCAGTTGCTCCCATAATTGAAGAAAATTTTGGGCAATTATTCATTTTAATTTCTTGGACATTCTCTGCGGATAACTTAAATCCTTTGCATATATCAACAAGACTTGGCAATTTCATTAGCCTTATGTCTGTCAAATTTGGAAGCACAATTTTGTTGACATTGTCATTACTGCTGTTGGCTTCACTCCTATGTTCAAAGAGCTGCTCTAACTCTGCACATTCTGATATCTCTATATTGCATAAATGTGGAAGCAATATGGTGACAGAGGAGGTTGAGAAAAGAGACTTGAGCCTGTTACAGTGCTCCACCCTCAACACTTGTAACTTAGGAAGCTAGTTTGGAATGATTGGTGATCTTGTTGTGTCAGAATCACCTCCAACTCCTCACAGCTCCGTATCATGAGCGTCTCTAACATTGGGAGGCTTCTTTCGGGGCTGCCCTCACCAAATACGGATTTCACTTCTTACAATTATATAGGCCCAATTCTTGAAGATGGACAAGGTTCGAAATATGTGAAGGAGCTCCCCATATCAGCCCACAGCTCAGGGAGACTTCCTAATTCTAATGCTTCCAGTTTTGAACACAACAGCTGCATATACACAGACCAAACAAACACACATCAACATAATAACACAAGACAAGAAGCCGCTTCCTTTTCCAGATGCCAATCATCAGTACAACATTTTTGCTTTATAAAAATAATTCAAAATTATTGCTCAGCTACGAAACTATATTGCCTATAACTTCAGGCAACATCTCTGTTCTTTTGCATGCTTCAACACCAGTGTCATGTGGTTTACAACAAAATATTATCAAAATAATTTTTGAATTCATCTAATTAATAAATTAATAAACTTACTAATAAATAAATAAAATTTTTAAAAATAAAAAATGAATGGTTCTTTTGATGCATTGGAAAATAGTGGGCAACATTTCTCGAATGTTGGGAAGAAAATATTTAAAGGCCACATTTATCTTTTCATTACCTATAAAAATATGGAGTAGCTTTTAAGTGTTGCAATAAAAATAGTTTTATAGGCAACAGTTTTTATGTTGCCTATTTGACGATTTCAATTCAATAGTTGAAATTTGTCGCCTATTCTGTTTTAGGGAATACTTTTAGATCTGTTGTTAAATATTACTATCACCTGTTCATATGTTAGATTACGCAACAATTTCAGAAATGTTGCATAGTCAAGTGTTACTAAAATTAAAAAATGTTCCAGCGCGTCCCTTTTCTTCATATTCAATAAATAATAAGAAATACGACTATAAAAAAAATTTCTAGCTGTCTAGCCTATGCGCGTGCGCACACATATATAAAATTAGGGTAACAAAAATATAAAAAAATATTCGAATGTCATTTTTTCCCTTTTAAACAAAACTAAAGATATTAAACTGCTCATTTTAATTCACATAGAAATTTTCATTTGAAATGAAAAAATTGATCAATCAGCTGTTATAAGTTCGCATGGTTTGCTAAAGAAAAAGAAACCAAAATTTAAAAAAAAAATTTGAACAATCATACTGTATACATATATATATCTATAAAGTATTGGACGGAAGCGTCTACGTTCAAGAAATGTAAAATGTTAAATCCTTTGACAAAATTCATCCTTTGGAAAAAATTATATTCAAATTCCTCCTGCTTTTAAATAAAATTAGAATTTTAATATATAATTTTTTTATAAATTTTAATTTAGAATTAAAACTCGATAATTCTACTATTATTTTTCTGCACAATTTCCTATAAAATCCTTACCAAAAGAGGGAGGGACAGCAATAAGAAAAATCAAATAGTATTATATGTATTTATGCCATAAAAATATTTAAAATCATTAAAATGGGTACATATTGTGTATATTCGTTATTAGGATCTGAATCTCAATTTTGTTAATCTAAAATGAAATGAATACAAATATTACATCATCTTGGGATACAATAATATTTAAGATCCAAGGAAGAAAAGAAAGGAAAAAAACTTATCTCCAATTAGATACTTAAGGATTCTAAGGACCAATAAATTGAGCTACAATAAAGAGAGAGAAAATTCATTTAAAGAAAGGGAAACAATTGGCAAAGATGTGAGTACCTGGCGAAGACAATCGTTGGAAAATAAACCTTGACAAAATCCTTGAGACTTGGCACTTCTCCTAGAATCAAACTCCTTAAGCTGGGTAATATATTCTTCGAAAAATCACTCCAATCTATGGCTATTGAAAATAGGCATTTTAACCAGTTGCATCTTTGAACTCGAAGATTTTTCAGATTTGGAAAACATATTTGTGATGAATGAGGAGCATTCAATGGGCTTTGATGTTCCTCTCCTACCTCTGCACTAGATATTATTCCCTCCAACTCATTGCAATCTGATATTTCAAGATCTTCCAATAGTGGCATGTGTTTAAGAATTACAGGGGAGAAAATAGTTTTCAAATTGTTGCACCCACTCACTCTGAATTTTCTAAGATTTTGGAGGCTCAATTTTTTCATTGGATCACTCCAAACAAATTTTAGATCAGGTAGATTCTTCAATTCAAGAGCACTTAAGGAAGAGGTTAACTTGCTTTGTGAAGTCTTTTTAGTAAAAACATCCCCTTCAACTCCAAATAGAATGTCTTCCATACTACAACCCTCAACCTTAAGTTTCTCTAAATTGAGAAACGTTAGTGGAGCTGAAACCCCACTATTTAATTGATTGTCCTGTGGCAAAGCATTTCACAAATCAAAATAAGATATTCACATTTGGTTCTTGTATCATTTTCATAGATATTATGAAAAAAAAATAGCAACGAAAATTAGGACAAAGAATTTAACAGAAGGCACATGAAAATACATACCATATTTATGGTTGAACCAACAGTGATGTTAACACCTGAATATTTGAATTTGGGACATTCCACGCATTGTAATTCTCTCAAACACGGGCAACTTGAATGAATGTTTTTTGGAAAAATGTTGAGCAAATTTTTCAAGCCATTGAGTTCGACTGATTCCAAAGCAGGAAGTTTGATCTGAACCTCTTGATTCTCATCTTCATGTTGACCAAAAGCATATTTTATTTGAGAAGACCTATAAATGCACACCTCCTCCAACTGCTCAAGGCCTCGTACACAAGAGTTGGAGAATACATATTCTAACTTGTCATAATCAGTGATAGTCAAACTTTTCAATTTTGAGAACAACAAATATGCACTATTGTTTGAAGCTGAAATTATTTCATTGTTAGCACCATCGCCATCCTCCTCTATTATATTCTTCAGTTCACTGCAACCATTTATATTTAGCTTTTGTAACAATAGCATAGCTCTCACAATACTCTTTGGAAACAAGAATGTCAGCATAGGGCAATCAGATATATGTAGTTCCTGTAATTTCTCAAAGAAGCGAAGCTGAGGAGGACCACACCAAATGACTTTCAAGTTCACCAAAGATGCCAACGTTAAGTTGATTAACTTTGGGAAGAGCCAACTTTTTGTTTCATGAGAAGTTGCATCT